CTGTCTCCTAGTTGATCTATCCGATATCGGCCATCTTTATCCGGTATTGAGGTCACCTGGTAAGGGAATGTGGGATTGTTGGAGGGAGGGAAGGTAGAAGGGAAGGTTGGGGGGGGGGAAGGGAGGTAGGAGGGGGAGGGAGGAGCTGGTAGGTCCCGTGTGCACTTGTCCCAGAGCGGTGAGAGACGCACACCACATGACCCACACCACAACACACAGCGGGAGGGACGGTGTGGTGTGGCCAGCTCCCACGCCCACCTACCACACCATACCACCTGCTCGCCTCAAAAATTTTTCTCATTCGACCACCTCCCACTTCGTCTAACCTAACCTAACCTAACCTAACCTAACCTAACCTTACCTAACCTAACCTAACCTAACCTAACCTAACCTAGCTTCTTCTTCTAACCTAACCTAACCTAGCAACACTACAACCTAACCTAACCTAACCTAACCCTATTAGAGCCCTTGTGTATGGGTTCCCTCTGAGCTAGATAAGGCCGTCAGTAATGAAATTGGGTGAGACAGTGGCAGTGAGGTGAGACAGTGGCAGTGGGGTGAGACAGTGACAGTAGAGTGAGACAGTGACAGTAGAGTGAGGCAGTGACAGTAGAGTGAGACAGTGACAGAGTGAGTGACAGTGAAATTGAGCAGTGACAGTAGAGGTGAGACAGTGACAGTAAGTGGAGACAGTGACGGTAGAGGTGAGACAGTGACAGTAGAGTGAGACAGTGACAGTAGAGTGAGACAGTAGCAGTGAAATTGAGACAGTGACAGTGAGAGTGTGAGACAGTGACAGTGAGGTGAGACAGTGGCAGTAGAGTGGAGACAGTGACAGTCAGAGGTGGAGACAATTGGCAGTAGAGGCAGGACGGTGAGCAGTGAGGTGAGACAGAGTGACAGTAGAGTGAGGCAGTGAGCAGTGAGGTGAGACGGTGAGCAGTGAAATTGAGACAGTGGCAGTAAGAATTGAGACAGTGGCAGTAGAGTGAGACAGTGACAGTAGAGTGGAGACGGTGACAGTGGGGGTGAGGCAGTGATGACAGTAGAGGTGAGACAGTGACAGTGAGGTGGAGACAGTGACAGTAGATTGGACAGTGGCAGTAGAGGTGAGACGGTGGTAGGTGAGACTTGACAACAGTGGGGGTGAGACAGTGACAGTGACAGTGGCAGTAGGTTGAGACAGTGACAGTAGAGTGAGACAGTGACAGTAGGTTGAGACAGTGACAGTAGAGTGAGACAGTGACAGTAGAGTGAGACAGTGACAGTAGGTTGAGACAGTGACAGTAGAGTGAGACAGTGACAGTAGAGTGAGACAGTGACAATAGATTGAGACAGTGGCAGTAGAAGATGCTAGCTGACACTGAAGTAGAGTGAGACAGTGACAGTGTAAGATACTAGCTGACAGTGACAGTTAAATGAGAGCGTGACAGTCTGGTTGATGCAAGACACTATCACTCTTTAACCAAGCAGAGACACTGATACCCTGAGTGGTGTAATATAAATAAGCTGACAGTGGGTGCAGTGACAACCTGGGAAGCTGACAGTGGCAGCAGTGACAGCGTGGGTGGCGTAAGACCCCTCTCTCTCACTCACCCCTGCAGCTGTGTGTTTACATATGCGCCAGTTGTACTTGACACAGGGTTCACCACGCTGTAAGGGAACACGTGGGCATTTATGTGAAGCCCCTGTTCATAGTAACGCCGTCTGCTGTTTAATCAAGTATGTTTTAATAATTAACTCAGGCGAAAGGAATTTTAAGTGGCTGGAAATAAAATCGGTCTAGTGGTAAAAATCTGGCATTAATTTCTTATAGTGGTAAAAATCTGGCATGAATTTCTTATAGTAGTAAAAATCTGGCATTAATTTCTTGATAATGAGAAAAATCTGGCAAATAATTTCTTGAGCAGTGATAAAAATCTGGCATTAATTTCTTTAGTGATAAAAATCTGGCAATAATTTCATGATAATGATAAAAATCTGGCAAATAATTTCTTGAGGGTAGTGATAAAAATCTGGCAATAATTTCATGATAATGATAAAAATCTGGCAAATAATTTCTTGAGGGTAGTGATAAAAATCTGGCAATAATTTCTTTAGTGATAAAAATCTGACATTAATTTCTTTAGTGATAAAAATCTGGCAATAATTTTTTGAGGGTAGTGATAAAAATCTAGAATTAATTTCTTAGTGGTAAAAATCTGGCATAAATTTCTTGATAAAAATAAAAATCTGGCAACAATTTCTTGAAGTTAGTGACAAAAATCTGGCATTAATTTCTTTAGTTAGTGACAAAATCTGGTATTAATTTCTTAAGTGATAAAAATGTGTCATTAATTTATTTAGAGTTAGCGACAAAATCTGGCAATATTTTTTAAGAGTACCGATGGAAATTTCAGCATATAAATATATTTTTAAATGAGTGGCAGTAATGTTTTTTTTCGATATTTTTTTCTCGAGGTAGTGATTTTGGCAGTGATAAAAATCTGAGTAGTGTTTCTATAGATTAATTTCTCATATAAACAACACCATTAATATGACCGAGTTAAGTATAGGAGCCTTGGGTCGTGTAAGTGGCCACTGTTATATAGAGTATACATTTATTCCCACATTAATGAAATAGCCACTTATAGCACACACACACACACACACACACACACCACACACACACACACAGACACAGACACACACACACACACACACCTCTGAAATACATTATCACTAGGTACTCCTTCACGGTTATAAAATTCCTCACTTATCCTACAGCCTCGTCATTATTACCATCACCATCGGGTTTTATTTTAAAGGGGATTATACCACCTGGACACAAGTCACTACCCACACCGGGGCCTGGGAGGGGGGAAGCAAAAGTGTAAACCCCACCATAAATAAATAAAAAAAATAAGGAAATACAACAAATCAATAGTGAGAAACAATATATGTATGTTGTGTTGTCAATAGTAAGAGAAACAATTGAGACCCTGCAATTGTGTGTAAATGAGGCAGAAAGTCAGATCAGCAACCTGGGACTTGGTCACATATGGCAGCAGGGTCTACCATTAGACAACACATTATGCTTCCAATATCTTCCCAGGCGGTAGTACCTCCCTGTTTGGTAGCTGCCTACTACCTACTACCTAACATTATCATCTTCGTCATCATCAGCAATACTATCATCATCACCGTCATCATCATCATCATCATCATCACCATCACCACCACCACCACCCACCATCATCATCATCATCGCCACCACCCACCATCATCATCATCATCGCCACCACCACCACCCACCATCATCATCATCATCATCATCATCATCCTTATCACATATTGGTAGAGAAACAAAACATTTCCATTAACCTTTGGAATATAATGACTTAATCCCCTGAGTCCAATACCATGATACTCACAGATCATTGTACTCAAGAGAATAATTCATCATACTCAAGGGAATAATTCATAGCACTCAAGGGATAAACTCATAGTACTCAAGGGGTAAACTCATAGTACTCAAGGGATAAACTCATAGTACTCAAGGGGTAAAGAAGCCAGATCATTTTGAGTACTTTTCTGAAGGTGGAGCCATCTTGCCCCACTAGCAAAAAACATAAATAACTAAAATATTCAAAAACCTTATCTTTTAAAACTGTCAAATATTTTTTTTTTACACTTATGACAACAAACAAAATTTATCTAATTGTGAAACGCTAAAAGAAAAACAAAATATTCAGGAGAGATAAACAACAGTGGAGAACAAAAGGTAATGTTGTACAGTGACCGCCACACACACACACACACACACACACACACACACACCTTACTTGGTCTTCAGGGAGCAGTTCTTCTAGGAGATAACAGACATGATATATTCGATTACTGAACACACACACACACTTTCTCTTCATTCACTTGTCGTTCCCACACAAGCCAGCACCATCAGTCAGCAGTGTGTGTGTGTGTGTGTGTGTGTGTGTGTGTGTGTGTGTGTGTGTGTGTGTGTGTGTGTGTGTGAGTAAATTTATCCAACCCAAAAATTAATTCTAGGCTTCATGAATTTAGTCCCATTAAAATTGATATTAATATATAAGTATTAATATTTCCAGAACATAGGTTAGGTTTACCCCTGACGGTAAAATGTCATAATTAGGATACATATAATTAAGGCACTGTAATAATTAAATTATTCCTAATATTTTTTTTTTAGACTAATACACAATTTGGTTTAATGGTAATGTATAATATACACCCGTCTCTACATAGGTTATACACACACATTATGATACACCACTTACACCAGGTCTCTAACACCACGAGTCATCACACCATCACCATCAGTCATCACACCATCACCATCAGTCATCACACAAACACCACCACTCATCACACCATCACCATCAGTCATCACACCATCACCATCAGTCATCACACATCACCATCACACATCACTCAATCACCACCAGTCATCACACCATCACCACCAGTCATCACACCATCACACCTCAACACCATCACCATCAGTCATCACACCATCACCATCAGTCATCACACCATCACCACCAGTCATCATACCATCACCATATTCCCTTGCCCTTATACTTTCACAGCAAGATTTAAATATAAAATTCATTAAATTATTGGAGATAAATTTTCATTTTTAATTTGTGACTTCAATTAAAATTTTTATCATAGATCTTTTTTAGAGTTTGATTAATTATATATATTAATTAATATTATTTCTGTATTCTGATTCATTAAAAAAGTTTTACCTGATTAAAAAATATATTATTTTATTTTATGCCTAAGTGACGTAATGTAAAAATTGCAACTTAAAAATTCTTAATGTTGGGATTATTTACAAACAAACTCATAATAAAAAATAATTTATTTTGTACACTCTTTAAATCAAAATAAAAAACCTGTGGGGCAGTTGGAACCCATTTCAGATATGTCGGTCATAAAGCTATAAATATATATATACATATAAAATTAATAGAGAGAGAGAGAGAAGTGGATTATTTCATGGACTGCTGCCGGTGGGTCGTGAGAAGACTTATTCCCTCAGGTAGAGAAAGATGGTGAGGAGGAAGGGTACAGACGGTAGGTAGAGTACAGTAAGTTCAGTCATGGGAGGTGGGTTAGTGTGGTGAGGTAGGGCTGACTATTTCATAATATCATCGATGGAGAAGCCTCGTCTCTTCTTACCGCTGTTCTCTTCTGCTTCCGTCAACAGGAAAGGTTTCTTGGCCGCTGGGTAGACCAGGGCCTCGAGGGCGTGCTTCCGGGAGTCCGTCTCCGCCTCCTTCTTCACAGGGTAGTTGTACAAGGGTATGAGGGTAATGTCCTTAGGTAGCGTGGGTGTTAACACAGACGGGTTTCTGAGGATGGGTATATCAGTGTCCCTCGTGTGGTTCCCTGGCGACGTTCTCGGTGGCAGTATCGTCGAGGGCGAGATTTGTGGAGGTGACGGAGACGTTTGTGTTGAGGTTGGGTGAGTGTCGTGGGCGTGCTGGGCCTTGTGGACGGCCAGGGTGCGCGCCTGACAGAACCCCTTGCCACACACCTCACACTTGAAGGGCTTCTCCTTGCTGTGGATGTACTTGTGGTCGCGGAGGTGGTCTTGTCTCCTGAAGGCCTTGCCGCAGATGTCGCAGGGGAAGGGCCGCTCGTCCGTGTGTGTTCTCTCGTGGATCAGCAGGTTGTAGCTCTTGGTAAACTCCCGTTGACAATACTTGCAGATGTAGCGCTTCTTGGGTCGGCTGAGGCGGCCTCCAGGAGTCAACAGGAGACGGTTGAGGGCCAGGTCGCCAGCACCCAGAGCCGCCCAAGGCAGCTGACCCAGAGAATGGTAACTGTGCAGCATCCCCATCACCCTGGGGTCTAACCCTGGAGACGTCTGCTTGGCACTGGCAGCGGCGGCGACGGAGGCGATGGTGGGGAGTATGGGGAATGGCGGTAGGAGTGGCAGGAGTGACGGACCTCGCGGGATCCAGGGCGTAAAGGCTGACCCTCGGTCTAGACCTGCACCCAGACCCGGGAACTGGAATCCACAGGGACTGGTGGGCGTAGGCGGCGGCGTCAACAGACCTGTAGGGAACACACCTGGTCAATATATACCTGGCTAACACGTCATGCAAATTAAGATCAACTCACTCACGTCTTGCAATATATCTTCTAATGTAGCTAATACCACCCATAGTTGTTATTGCAGTAAGTTCTACCACTGATCTGATACTTCTCTTACTACACCACTTCCCTTGAAATCAGAAACACAAGTTAAAAAAAAATATATAAATAAAGTACAAGAAACATTATAAACAGTGAACGTACCGGACTGGCTGCACTCCTTGTCTGTCGCCCGCTCTCCTTCTCGACTGGTGGCCATTTTCACTGACCACAATATCTCTTAATCTCTATATCGAAAGGGTAAGTTAAATCCTTTGATATGTAGTGGTTATAAAACTCGGTATGATTGTGAAGATGCTATTACAATATGATCACAAACTTCACCGTCCGGGGGTCTGAGGGAAACTGAGGTTAGTTAAGGTTGCTAAGTCTGTGAACGATATTGGCCTTCTGGACTATGAGTTGCCAGCTGCCCAAAGAAATTACACTTAACAAATATCATAGTTATTAAAAATGGATATAATTTTATTCCCAGATGAGGAAACTAAAGCTAACTATATCAAAGTCTAAAGGTTCTTATGATATACAACACAATAACAAGGGAATATAAATAAATACAAACAACCTAGTTAGTCACTCGGCGCATGCGTGAGAGAAGCACTGTGAGGTAGGACGGTACTGTTCTCATATACACACCGGAATTTTTCATACCTGTTAATTTTCACCATTTATTTTATCACGACATAGAGAGAGTAAGTGTTTGAAATAATAAAAATTATACACTTTATTTAACAAACAAACTGGTTTTCTTAATAATATGGAACCTAAGAGATGAAGCTGTGGGTGCTCACTGAAGTCGTGACGGTGGGCGTGGCCAAGCTAGCTGCTATTGGCTGTAAGAAAGTAAGCCCCGCCCAGAAGGATTCCATTTGGTGATATATGCTCACCGGGGAAGCTTTATTAATCTCTATGTTCCTTTTTCGTTGGTGCTTGTAGATCCTATACGCTTTAAGTATTTAACAGAGAGAAATATATATACTGTATAATGATGTGGTAGATGAGAGAGCAGTGTGTTGGGGGGGAAACTCGGGGAGATGAGAAGGAAGAGGTCCTCGCTCGCTGGCCTGGCATCATCAGCGTTGTTGCTTGTTTTTATTACATTAATTAAGCTTATCTAACTCAGATTCAGGTAAATTAACGGGTTACCTTCATCATTTTCCTTGTTCACGTCCCTTGGTCTACAATTACCAAAACAATTTTCCCCAAGAAATGCTCCGGTGCGTAGACACATACCTGCTCGCGCGTGATCATGTAAGTTTGGTCACGTACAGATAACAGGTGTGTACGTGTGTGTACCTGTGTGTACACGCGACTTGTTCTGGGAAGGCTGACTGACGATGTGGAAAGTCTTAATTATTGTAGGAGATTACCCAGGGCGGCTGACTGGGTAGAGGGGCTCACTCTCCCTCCAACTCTCTATAGTACACACAGCTGTTATCTACTATATTATTTAATAACCTTTCATGATCTAAACAACACAAAAGCTTATTACTCATTTATAGTAATATTATGAATGTTTCCACGTAAGACAACAACAATATTACAGGTCAGTTACCGAATTTGAAGGATCACTGGAAAGGGCTTCCAGATAACTACCGATTTAATAACAATAAAAAAATGATAACGTGTTGTGATATTGGAAGGTGTGTGTGTGTGTGTTTATCTTTACTACCAACATGTTATCTGTTATCACCTTGGAGGAGGTGTCACTGGGAGTAAAGAGAGGCACATCCTCAGTACACTTTATGAATGGGAGTCAACCTTAAGAGGACTGCCCCACGATTAGGTATTTTATTCTGGTTAACGCCAGACGATTTTATTCAGCTGAGAGAAACCTCTGCCAGCTAAAGGGTTAAAGAAAGTGTCAGACTGAACTAACATTAACTTTTTGCATCGTATAATTCAGGTTCTCGGGAACTTAACAGAAGAGTAGTGTGGTTGTTCTTCAGCCGCTCTCCAGTACTTGCCTCGCCTCAGCTCCAATTCACCACTGAATATGATAATGAACACTGGAGAACATGAGCAGGACCCGTGCGAGGTGTGGGGTGGCCTCAGTGCACGTTACCCCGCGGGCCAGAGGAGGAGAATGTAGCTAAACATGGTGGTAAGGTTTGGCCACTAAGTTAATGTCCACCTCTCTCCTGGAAGAGGGCGCCCCGGAGATACCCCTTATCTGTGTGGCTGCCTGCAAGTACACTTACTTCGCCTGTAGGTACGCCATCGTCATTTCCTCCCTAATGGAGGAGGAAGATGAGCCTGGCTCTAGCTAAGCGTAAGTTTTTACATAATAAAGTCTCCATAAACAGCAGTAAATCAGCCAGTGGTGGTCATGAATTAACGGTTGCCAGTTTCAGTGATGTACAAAAGCATAATAATTATAGATGCAAACTCCATGCATCTTATTTATCCCTGGTATAATTGCTGTTATTATTTTCAATACGGCAGATTTTTTAAGATGCAAGAAGGTTATCGGGAGGATCGTAGCGGGGGAGGCGCGACTTATGGCTGCGCCTCCCGCCTGAGCGCCAGCACCAGCCTCCACGCTCGGGGCGGTAGAGCTGGTATTCCTCCTCCACACTGTACTCACCCTCACCGTGTGGCCAGGCTCATACGGCTGGTACTCGGGTATCACGTGACACACTGGTTTATTGGAGCTGTTTCTCTAATGCAACGTGTTATTAGTTATTATAAACATTTCAGAATTTCCTATATTTCACTGATTTTGACCATCAAGCAATCTAAGTACTAAATATGGGATGGCCAAGGACACGACTTTTGTTAGTGAGGAATGTATCGTGGATTACACATAAAAATACTCGTTTCACAGATGACTAATTTGCTTACGTGAAAAATCTATGATACTGAACCAATCAGTTGACTCTCGCTGTACACACACAAAAAAACCTCTTCATTATAAGGAACAGAATGAAAAACAGTTCTTAAAAAAAAGATGAAAAAGGTTTAAAAATGATGGTCTCTTAGGTGGACCATCAACCGGGCGCGTGGACCAGTCTGGACAGCGGCCGAGACACACACACACACACGAACAATCATTCCTCTCAACTGGGTCAAAGTCGTGAAGTGTTGGCGGACCTGTACGAGCAGTAGTACCGTGGCTTATGTCAGCTACGGGAGAGGAGGAGGGGGTAGGATGGTGTTGGGGAGATCGGAGGAGGAGTAAGAGGAGGAAGAGGGGGGGAGGGGTGTCGGGGGATTTAGTATGCATTTGAGGGATCTTTCACGAAGGAAAACCACTAGCAATTTATTGAACAGTATTATATGATAGCGTGCACAAAAACAAGATTCTCTCCCACACTCATAAGAAAATCTCTGAATTTTCATCTTTCTCGTGTGTAGATGGAAGAGTGGAATTCCTTGACCACAAATCTCTCTTAGGTGGACGATTAGTGGACGATGGTGCAGGGTGTCCGAAAACCACAGGTCATTCAGCTTAAAATTCATCCTTTTAATTCTCATATCGACACAATTGCGGAGTAGTTTAGTTACAGACAAGTGGATAGAGAGGGAAGCTGACGGGTGATGGTGGGTGAGGTGTGTTGTGGTGGATTGTGGTAGTGGTAGAATATAGTGGTTGTGGTGGAGATGTGTATGTGTGTGTGTCTGGAGGTTCCATGTGGTTTATTTCGTTATCTCGTACAAGAACATTATGGTTGGGGCGTTTATCTCAAGACAAAGGTTATTATATTAATCTCTCTCTCTCTATCTCTTCTGCTCACTAACACTCATTTTCTATATTTTCCTCCACTTCACATTTCCACCTTTCGTTATCTCCGTGTAAAGTCATTCCTTCTCTTGTTTTCAAAGACTTTTAATGTGTCAACATCTTTTATCTCACTCACAATCTCACCACACAGGATTCAGTAAGACAGTGGTGGATTTTATTTAATCTCTCTATATCAATAAACATAACTTACGGTACATCACAACCATTCTATAATCTGTTGGTCAATATATCATATAATCCTTCACCTCTACCGTGTTGTATTCCCCCTATCATTCATTAATAATTATAGCCGTCATATCATAAACAATAAACAATGGGTAAACATAAGAGGAACAGTAAACAAAACACACAACTTGAGGTACAAACACACCATGAAGGGCAAAACAAACAAACAAACAAACACACACACACACTTGACCACCGCCACTTATGGACACTCGCCAACAACTGAATCAATAAACAACACAAGATCTTTTGTTTGGTTGTAGTAAACGACTCACGTGACGTCTCCTGGTGGCTCTCTTACCCGTGTACCTGATGGCTCACTTGCCTGTGTACCTGATGGCTCACTTGCCTGTGTACCTGATGGCTCACTTACCTCTGTACCTGGTGACTCTCTTACCTGTGTACCTGAAGGCTTTCTTACTTCTGTACCTGGTGGCTCTCTTACCTGTGTACCTGGTGGCTCTCTTACCTGTGTACTGTACCTGGTGACTCTCTTACCTGTGTACCTGGTGGCTCTCTTACCTGTGTACCTGGTGGCTCTCTTACCTGTGTACCTGGTGGACTTGCTCAGTAGCTGATGCCCACTTGCCTGTGTACCTTACCTGTGTGCCTGGTGGCTCTCTTACCTGTGTGCCTGAAGGCTTTCTTCTTTACTTCTGTACCTGGTGGTGCCTGTGCCTGATGCTCTTTACCTGTGTACTGTACCTGGACTCTCTTACCTGTGTAGTGGCTCTCTGTGACTGTGTGCCTGAAACTTCTGACTCTCACCTGTGTACCTGTGGCTCTCTTACCTGTGGCTGTGCCTGGTGACTCTCTTACCTGTGTACTGAAGGCTTTCTTACTTCTGCACCTAGTGACTTCTTGCCTGTGCCTACCTGCTTCTGTGCCTGGTGGCTCTCTTACCTCCGTGTGTACTGTACCCAGACTCTGACCTGTGCACCAAGGACTCTGTTACCTGTGTACCTGAAGGACTCTCTTACCTTGCCTGGTGACTCTTTTGCCTGTGTGCCTGAAAAACCTGGTGAAACCCTCTTTACCTGTGTGCCTGGTGGCTCTCTTACCTGTGTGTGATGGCTCTTTACCTGTGCTGTGCCTGGTGACTCTTGCCTGTGTGCCTGGTGGCTCTCTTACCTGTGTGCCTGATGGCTCTTTTACCTGTGTGCCTGGTGGCTCTCTTACCTGTGGTGACTCTCTTACCTGTGTACCTGGTGCTCCTCTTACCTGTGTACTGAAGGCTGGTTCTCTTACTGTGTACCTGGTGGCTCTACCTTACCTGTGTGTGTACCTGACTCTTTACCTGTGCTCTTCTTACCCCTGTGTACTGTACCTGTTGATTGGTTACCTGTGTACCTGGTGGCTCTC